ATGAAGCTAGGCTTCAAGGATCCTTCGATCTGAAAAGTCAGAGGTTGAGGGGGCAAGGCATGACCAAGTCTACAAAAATGATAGATGTGGATCAGCTGAACGCATTTAGCTTTACTAAATTCCTTATTTCCAAGAACAGGTCTAGAGGTTAAATGAAGAAGACAAAAATCAGACCTGTCCAAACTTTTGACACTGTGACATGATGTTGTCATCCACAAAGGTTAAGTTCAAATACCATGAAACCAAGTTTTTTAAAAAAAGGGAGGAATTGGGAGGAGGAAACTTTGGTTGCAATGTAAAAAACAGCAACAACAAAAAACAAAAACAAAAAAGCAACAAAACAAAAAGCCCCCGCCCCTGCCAAAAAAACAAACAAGAAAAAAAAAAAAAACTAACAAAAATGCCCCACCACCACCAAAATAAAAACCCACTGTTTTAAGTAAGTTTTTGATTCTGTGTTGAGGCCACATTCGTAGCTATCGTTGGAAGCATGCGGCCTGTGGGCCACCTGTTGTACTAAATGGAATTCATTCTTCCAAATATTTGAGGATTAAAGCCAAAACAGCTGCACCAGTGGAGCCAGAGGGTGGCTCACGCCTGTCAACTCAGTCCCAAGGGCTAGATGGTAGTGGCGGGGAGTGGGGCTGAAGCAGAAGATGAAGACTACAAAGCCAGCCTGGGCTACACAGTGAGACCGTCTCAAAACGAAACAAAAAAAAAATAAATAAATAAAGCCAAACAGCTGATGGGTACAGAATGGATTTAGCTCCATTTGGGGGATAAGAGATATATACTAGGTAACTAAACCTATTTAGGGATATTCTAAAACTGTAGTTGGTATCAGGGCAACTACCTCTATAGTGGTGATACTTGAGAGAACTCTGTGATAAAGGGCCATGGTATCAGGTCAAAAAATGGGTTTTGCTCTTGGATGTGGGCACGAGTGGGCTGGTAGAACCTGGCAAGCCTCCATACCATTTCAGCAAAGATGCAGCCCAGGCTCCAGATATCCACAGCTGTGGAGTAGTACTTGCAGCCTAGAAGGATTTCAGGTGCTCGGTACCACAGGGTCACCACCTGGGGAGCAAGAGGACAACAAGGTCACATACCTCAGTTCAACAAAACCCAGCTCTACCTCCTAGGCTCTCTTTTAACAAGGGATTTTATTATTATTTTTTACTTTAATAATGTGTATACACGCATTGTCTGTGTAGGTTTACACAACTGTGCGGTACCCTCCGAGGCCAGAAGGAAGTGTCTGAAACTTTGGAGCTGGAGTTAAGGGTGATTACTATAAACTGCCTGACATGGGCTCTGGGAACTGAACACAGTTCACCTGCAAGAGCATCATATGTTCTTAACTATTGAACCATCTTTCTATCCCCAGTCATGTATTCTGAACCCCCAGATTTGGGATGTTCCTGGAAAAAAACCTGAGACATTTAAATGGTATGCCAACCAGCTTTCCTGGCTTAGTATCTAAGTCCAGGTAACCTTATAGTATGAATTCAGTGCATATCCTAAGACCCTTTGGTTAAGGGCTAGAGAGAGGCTCAGTGGTTAAGAGGGCTTGTTTTTGCAGAGGACCCAGGTTAAATTCCCAACACCCATATGGCAGCTCACAACAATCTGTAACTACAGTTCCAGGGGATCAGACACTTTCTTCTGACTTCTGTGAGCACCAGGCAGGACGGTGGTACAGACATACATGCAAGCAAGACACTTTACATAAATAAGTAAAGACCCTTGGGTTAGCCAGGCAGTTGTGGCACATGCCTTTAATCCCAGCACTTGGGAGGCAGAGGCAGAGGAAGGCAGATCTCCTGAGGCCAGCCTGGCCCTTTACAAAGCCAGTTCCAGGACAGCTAGGACTGTTAACAGAGAAACCCTGTCTTGAAAAATCAAGAAGAAAAAAAGACCCTTGGGTGCTCAGAGATTCCATTTACCAAGGAACTCCTGCCCTGGTATTTTGGTAATTTGTGAATACTGTTATGAACATCTCCCAAGATTCTTAAAGAAGAAAATCACAGAGGGACTTACCTCATGAGTATAGGTACGAACAGGGACTCCAAAGGCTCTTGCTAGTCCAAAGTCTGCCAACTTGATGGACCCCTCTGCGTTGATAAGCAGATTCTGGGGCTTCAGGTCTCGGTGTAGGACTCGGTGAGAATGGCAGAATGCTAGGCCCTGGAGCAGCTGGAACAGATAGCTCTGATGAAGGAGAGAGGGAGGTTTGTTCAGTCACCACAGTGAACAGACACAACTTGTTCTTTGCCCTCAAAATGAAATAAAGCCTTAACTATGTTAGATGATAACTCACTACATACTTTGGGGGGTTTTGTTTCATTCTTTAGATTACATTTTTATTTGTTGGGGGGGGCTGCATGCCACAGTGCATATGAGGAAATCAGCCGGCAACTTGCAGGAGTTAGTTTTCTTGTACTGTGTGGGACCTGGGGAGTTCAGGTCATCAGGTCATCAGACTTGGAGACAGGGACCTTTACCTGCTGAGCTATCTTGTCAGCCCTGTTTGTTTTTAAGATAGTGTCTTCCTGGCCTGGAACTTTGTAGCCTAGGCTGTCCTTGTACTTACAGACATCCTCTTGCCTCCACCTCCCGAGTGTTAGGATTACAAGCATGAGCTAACACACATAGCTACAACATAACCACACCTTTAATAGCTATTTCTTTCATTGGATTTTTAGCCTGTCAAGGATAAAGACCAGATATTACTCAATTCTTGCAACCCTTTCAAAACCCTGTGCCTAGCACGTTGAAGGTGTTAAATAACTGTGTGCTGAATATATATCTGCTGATACACTCATTAGCTCCAGCTCTGGTTATTCTTCCACATCACAGGCGGGAAATTTTTTTGGAGGAACCCACCAATCGCCCTCAACGCCATTATCTGAGTGTTATCTGATCTGCCTAGGTTGGCTCACAGGAGCTCAATTTTGATTCTTCTGTTCATCCTATGGTTAATGACTATGAGCAGGAAAAGCAACACAAATAAAGGGGAGTGGAGCCAGGCGGTGGTGGCGCACGCCTTTAATCCCAGCACTCGGGAGGCAGAGCCAGGTGGATTTCTGTGAGTTCGTGGCCAGCCTGGTCTACAGAACGAGATCCAGGACAGGAACCAAAGCTACACAGAGAAACCCTGTCTCGGAAAACAAAAAACAAACACCCATAAATAAATAAATAAATGAATAAATAAATAAATAAATAGGGGTGGGGTGGGAAGTGTTGAAGTCTGGAAAAAAAAAAAACCAAAATAAATCATTACCAGTCTGAATTACCTACCTCTAGTTTCCCCAAAATATGTGGGCTGGAATTGAAGAGGATTACCTTGATGAGGGGAAGAGGAATGCCAGTGAGGGCAGAGGCATCCATAAACTTCTTAAGGTCCTGGTGCAGAAACTCAAAAACCAGATAAAGCTTATTTTCTGTGTGGATGACATCCAGCAGCCTGCAAGAGAAGGTCCAGGAAATGGAGTTGAGGGAGAGAAATTGTGAGGCTAAACAAACGGAATTCATCTCGGTGACCATCTCTCAAGACTACACTTACTTGACAATATTAGGGTGATTAAGTTCCTTAAGCAGAGAGATCTCTCGGATGGCAGTACTGGGTACACCTTCAGTCTCACTTGGAGAGGTTGGGAAAACAGAAGTGAGAATATAGTCACAAACATTGCTCTCTCACAGAGACCCCATCCCCCCAAACCCCTTAGGAAGTCAGAAAGGGAGGTACTGTCAGGAGTCAATTCCTGGGTAGTCAGGGTGTGGCTTTTAGACATATTTAAGGTCAATTATTTCCTCTTTTTCCAGTGGAAGGTAGGTAGAGCCTCCAGGTGAACGTGAAGCAGAGGAAAGGTAATAAGGGGAGGGGGGTGAGAGTAGCTCCCAGCCTCCCCGGAGGGCCAGTGAGTCTCAACTGCCATTCTCTTTTGAAAGAGGGTGAGGGTTCTAAGCATGGGGCTGGAGCAGTGAGGAAAGCTCTCCATTCAGAAAGGAACTATTATCCTCTTGTTCCTCCATAACCCAGCTCTATGAACACTCCCCGACCCTACCTCGGCCCTTAGCCCCCACTTTCTCTTCCCAAGCCTCTCGGCTTGCAGATTGGGGAGCACACCGGGTGGAGCACGAGAGGAAAGTTTTCTCTGGATTCTAGCCCCCGGACCGTCTCCTGAGCGTCTACCGTCCGCCAACACACCCTTCACTTCGGAGTCCCTCCCCGCTACCTTCCGGTCCCGGACGGCTACCCGCCTGTTGGGGTAGGGGGTTGGGGATGGGGTTGGCGGGGGGGACGGACAGTCAGGAGGTCCCGGGAAAGGAGTTCCGGCTCCGGAGGCCACTCACGTGTCGAGCCGGATTTTCTTCAGCGCCACCACTTCTCCCGTCAACTTGTTTTTGGCTTTGTACACCACCCCGTACGTGCCCTCTCCGATCTTCTCCACCTTTTGGAAGTTCTCCATGGAGCGCTAGTGAGGCGGCTCAGGCCCCCGGGAGCGGGGCCCGGGAACCCTGAAGGAAACGGGCCCAACACTCGGGGCGGAGGACCGGGGGGGGCCCCGGTGAGCACGGCAGCCCCAGCTCGGGATGGAACGCAAGCCGAGCTCAGCCCTTGACAATTTGTCCAACTTGAAACAATGTTGCCGCCTCCCCCACGGCTCCAGACGGCCCGCAGAGGCCCCGCCCCTCCTTCCCGCGTTTCCCTGGCTCCGCCTCCCACCCTTCCGATTGGTCGACGTCACGAGGGCGGGCCGGGCCCCCGCGCTCCCGCCGCCGATTCCCCGCCCTGGGCGGGCGAACTGAGCGGGCCGCACCGCAACTTTCCCCGGGTTCCTGGTGTGGGCTCCGCCGGCCGGAACTGGTGTCGTCCCTGGTCTGCGAATTTCCTTACCTTTCGCTCACAATTTTCACCACCCCTTAAGTGAGATTAAATCCTACCTAGCCAAGAGAGCCTCCTTTAAAAAGCAGAAACCTAGGAATCTTCAAATGTATATATATGTATATATATATATATATAATTTTCAATTATGTGCATGCGTGCGTGTCTGTGTTTAGGTTTTCACCGCAGCCGCAGATCGTCTGGAGCCGAAGTTAGAGGCGGTTGTGAGCCGCCACGACAGGCTTGGGCGCTGGAGCCGAACTCTGATCTTCTGCAAGAACAGCATAACTGCTGAACCGTCTCTCCAGCCCTCCTACCCCCCTTTTTTGAGACTGTCTCTCATAATGCAGTCCCGGCCGGCTGGAATGCGTTTTTTTTTTTTAAAAAAAAAAAATCAGGTTGGCTTCGAACTAGCAGAGGTCCGACTGGCATTGCCTCCTGTGTGCTAGGGCTCTTATTGTAAAGGATTCTTAGGCTAGGTAACAAAGTCGTTTCTCAGCCTAGCTTAATCCTGTCTCACTGTTTTAGTGGTCCGTGGTTCGTTGGTTGGTTTTGTTGATTTATGGCTGGGGATCTACACTCCCAGCCCCTTCGGACTGCTTTTGAATAAAGGAGCTGTTTCTGTCTTAAGGAGCTGCGTGGTTTGACTCAATTCATGGCTTCGCTCTCTTGCTGAATCGTGACTGTGAAGTATGTGAATTGTGGCTGCCCATCCGTCAACTGTTTCCAGAACGATCGTGCGTGTCAGGATGAATGCGACCCTAGTGAAGCCGGAAACTGTCATTGAGCAGTGGGATGAGAATGGAGCATCCACGGACTGAAATCAGTTCTGGCCCTCTCCTGCTTCCCAGGTTTCCCCTCCCCTAGAGCGATGGGAGGAAGGACTATGCAAATGAACCCCTTTCTATATAGGGGTTCATTCCCACCCCCCTGGCACCTTTGGCTGCTGAAAGGAAGAACAGAATGAGTGTGCCAAGAAGACGCTCTCTCCCTCTGTTCCTGCTGGGTGCTCTGCTGGCTGTGGGGGCCGTAGAAGGTGAGCGTGCGCATGTGTGGTCAGGGGCAAGTGCCATGTTGAACACCTGCTCGGGGTTTCCCCCTTCTAACAGGACATGTCAAAATATTTCAGGCTTGTCCTATTTGATTTCGTGAGGATATAGTTTTGTTTGCTTCATTTGTTCAAGACAAGGATAGCCTTGAACTCCTGATCCCCATGCTTCTACCTCCTAAGTACTGGGATTCCAGATATAAACCATGGTGCCCAGCTTTATATGTGAAATTTAGGACTGAGCATAGAAGTATTCCTATCTGACTCAAGGGACAAGAAGTCATAGCAGTAATTCTGAGGCCTTCTAAGACAGGCAGCTGAAACGGGGCCTCCAAGGAGGTAAAATGAATGGGAGATCCTTTAGGTAATATCTTCAGTGCTTGTGGTAGGAGATTTAAGGTGGAAAGAAAGAGAATGTGGTGTCCAGTAAGACCTAACTGATGCCGCCTTCTGCGCTTGGGGTGGGTATGGATGACTATAGCCCAGGCCTTACATTCCAGGGCTGGGAGAGACAAGCAGAAGGGTCTCAGCTGAGCATCACATGAAAGGACTCTGGGGGATTGAGGCCTCGTGACAGGAGCAAAGGGGAGGGAGTTAAGGGTGGCCAGAGGGTCTGGAATGTCCCGTGCTGCTGAGGAGGGAGGGTGGGCAGTCAAAAAAGAATGGTGTGTCTTATGACTGCTCTTGCTTCAATGGTCGAACACTCTCTGAGATGACCACAGACCAAACCCCAGCAGCATCTCTGGCTTCCCCGTGGACGTTAGAATCGGGATAAGGACAGTTTCTGCTATACTACAGTATATATACTATATCCTATATATCATATAATATACATCATATCACAGCCCCCTTTTCTCTCTCTGGATCCCTGGTCTCACAAACTTCTAGAAAGTTCCCTACTCTGGCTTTTTCATTTGTACTGCCATTTCCAGGGTTTTTGTTTGTTTTTTTATTCCTTGGGTCCCTTGTATCCCAGACTGGCCTTGAACTCACTTTGTAGTAGATCCTTTTGGTTCTCCCTCCTGGGTGCCAGAATCACAGACAGGTATGTGCTGCCAGTTTTTTTTTTTTTTTAACCTTTTGCTAAGTTCCTTGACGTATTTTGGAAATGTCCTGTTTATACCCACACCTCTGAGGCTCTTAAGATACTGTGCTTACATTTTGAACACTGACTTTAATTATTATTTTTTTCTACCACGTGAGTCTGGGGGAATCAAACTCAGGTTGTCAGGCTAGGCAGAAAGTATCTTTACCCAATAAGCCATCTCACTTGCCTGAGATTTTCTTCTGAATACATAGACAAAAACAGCAACTAATAAGAATAAAGCAAATGTATCAAAATGTGGGTAGTTGTTGGATTTGGGTGAAGGGATGTGGAAGCCCATTACAGTTCTTCTCTTGTCAGATATACGTTTAGCTCTGGTCTCCCAGTGTAACCCCAGTTGTCCTGGTACTTACTATGTAGACCAGGCTGGCCTCCAACTTTGCAGTGATCTTCCTGCTTCTGTCTTCTGAGTGTTAAGATTACAGACATGAGACACTATACCCAATTTAATTATAATAATCATGTCTGCTTTGTCCCCATCTCCAACCTGGGTCTACTCATTTCTCCCTCCTTTTTGCCACAGTTTCTTCTTCTTCTTCTTCTTCTTCTTCTTCTTCTTCTTCTTCTTCTTCTTCTTCTTCTTCTTCTTCTTCTTCTTCTTCTTCTCCTTCTTCTTTTCTTTCTCCACTTCCTCTTCCTCCTTCTCCTCTTCTTTTCTTTTGAGACAAAGTTGTGTAGACCAGGCTAATCTTGAACTTATTATGTAGTTCACGCTGGCTTAACCTCATGGTGAGTCTTTTGCCAAAGACTCCTGAGTTCTGACTGAGATTACTTTTGTGAACCGCCAAGTCGTGATGCCCCAGTGGCCTTTTTAAAATACAAATACCACCATGTTAAAAAAAAAAAAAATTTTCAAAAAAAAAAAAAAAAAAAAACTTGCAGGGAGAGAACCCCCCCAAAAAAAAAAAAAAAATTCTAAGCCAGGCGGTGGTGGCGCACGCCTTTAATCCCAGCACTAGGGTGGCAGAGGCAGGTGGATCTTTGTGAGTTCGAGGCCAGCCTGGTCTACAGAGCAAGATCCAGGAAAAGGCGCAAAGCTACACAGAGAAACCCTGTCTCAAAAAACCAAAAAAAAAAAAAAATTCTAGCCAGGGAGTGGTGGCGCACGCCTTTGATCCCAGCACTTGGAAGGCAGAGGCAGGTGGATCTCTGTGAGTTCAAGGCCAGCCTGGTCTACAAAGTGAGTTCCAGGACAGCTAGAGCTGTTACACAGAGAAACCCTGTCTTAAAAAAAAACCAAAAAAAAAAAAAAAAAAAAAAAAGAAAAAGAAAAACCAAAACAAAAAAACTCTGAAGGGCTGAAGAGTTAGCTCAATGGCTGTTCTTGTAGAAGACTCGGGTTCAATCCCCAGCATCCTTATGACAGCTCACAACTGTTTGTAATGCCAGACCCAGGGGATCAAATGCCCTCTTCTGATCTCAGGGGTCACCAGGCATGCACTTGGTACACAGACATATATGCAGGCAAAACAATCACATAAAAAACCAATAATATATATATTTGGGGTTTCGAGATAGGGTTTCTCTGTATAGCCTTGACTGTCCTAGAACTAGCCCTGCAGACCAGGCTAGCCTTGAACTCACAGAGATCTGCCTGCTTCTGACTCCCGAGTGCTTGGATTAAAGATGGCATGTGCCACCACTGCCTAGCAAAAATGAATATTCTAGCCGGGCAGTGGTGGCGCACGCCTTTAATCCCAGCAATCGAGAGGCAGAACCAGGCGGTTCTCTGTGAGTTCGAGGCCAGCCTGGGCTACGGAGTGAGTTCCAGGAAGGGCTCCAAAGCTACACAGAGAAATCCTGTCTCAAAATAACAAAACAAAACAAATCTGAACAGAAAAGCACCAGGTGTGTAGTATCTGTGATTGCACTCAGGAGGCAGAGGCAGGAGAATGGCAAATTCTAGGCTAGCCTAAGCTACACAGAAGACTTGTCTCAAACAAAACCACCACCACTAACTGAAAACCAACTGCCTGCAAAGAAGAAAGGTCATACACCTCGGCCTGGAACTGAAGTCCCTATCTCAGCAGTTCTCAACCTGTGGGTCTTGACCCCTTTGGGGGTCGAATGACCTCTTCACGGGGGTCGCCTAAGACCATTGGAAAACAGATATTTACATTGCGATTCATAACAGTAGCAGAATTACAGTTATGAAGTAGCAGCAACAGAAATAATTTTGTGGTTGGGGGTCACCACAACATGAAGCGCGTATTAAAGGGTCTCAGCGTGAGGGAGGTTGAGAATCACTGCTCTAACTCATCTTCTCAGCCTCATTTCTCACAGTGTCTGTCAGCCAGAGGCTAGCAGTCCCTAATTTGCCATGTGACTATCGGCCTCCACGTGTTTGCTCAGGCTAGCCCTAGCTCAGTTCCTCACTGACGTCTTCCACACTCCGCTAGAGGGGAATTAACCTGCTCTTCTGTCATTTTGCTGTACGATGGTGTAGTCTCTTATGGCACATGTTAAGCACATGTTAAGCAGTGGTATGGTGACAATCTGTGTGCATGTTCATTTCTTGTGTTTTCTTTTATTTCAAAGTCTTATTTACTTTTTTTTTTTTTTTTTTTTTTTTTAGTATGGAACATTTCACGAATTTGCATGTCATCCTTGCTCGGGACCATGCTAATCTTCTCTGTATTGTTCCAATTTTAGTATATGTACTGCCGAAGCGAGCACCTTATTTACTTCTTAAGTCCTGTGTGCTTATAATAATGCATAATATATAATGAGTATTCAGTCAATTAAAATGTATTCTGAGGGGCTGGTAAAGAGCTCTCGCTGCTCTTCCAGAGAACCCAAGTTCAGTTTCTAACAACCACATCAGGTAGCTTAAAACTGCCTGTAACTCCAGCTCCGGGGGACCTAATTAGATAGATAGATAGATAGATAGATAGATAGATAGATAGATAGATAGATAGATCCGGGGGACCTGATTAGATAGATAGATAGACAGACAGACAGATAGGTAGGTAGATAGATATGCACTTTGAAAGCCAGGCTTGGTGCTACACACTTGTAATCTTAGTACTTGGGAAACTAATGTACGAGAATTATTAAAGACAGACTGAGCTGTCTAGTGAAACCCTCCCTCTCAGAAGTAGATAAGCAGGGTTGGTGAGACGCTCAGCAAGTTAAGGAAGGTGTTTGCTGCTAAGCCTGATGACCTGAGTTCAATCCCGTAGACCCACACGGTGGAGGGAGAGAACTGAGTCCTGTGGACTGTGCTTTGCCCTCCATCCATGCACTCTGGCACTCACATAGACATTTAAATAAATAAGAGGTTCATGGTGCCTTACCTGTATTCCCAGCACTTAGGAGGCTGAGACAGGATAATCATGAGTTGAAGGCCAGCCTGGACTTCTATAATCTAAAGTCTTGTCTAGAAATATGTGTGTGTTGGGGGTGGGGCTGGGAAAGTACTGTCCTGGGGGCTGTAGCTCAGCTGAGTGCTTGCGACGAATGCAGTAGGCGATTGGTCCCTTCCCAGTACCGCATAATCTGGGTGTGGTGGTACCGGCTTGTAATGCCAGCATTTGGAAGTGCCAGCAAAAGGATCAAGGCCTTTCTGGCTTCATAGTGAATTTGAGGTCAACCTGGGTTACACGATACCTTATTTAAAAAAGGAACAACAAAGCCGGGCGGTGGTGGCGCACGCCTTTAATCCCAGCACTCGGGAGGCAGAGCCAGGCGGATCTCTGAGTTCGAGGCCAGCCTGGACTACCAAGTGAGTTCCAGGAAAGGCGCAAAGCTACACAGAGAAACCCTGTCTCGAAAAACCAAAAAAAAAAAAAAAAAAAAAAAAAAAAAGAAAGGAACAACAAAAAATTAAGTGTTTCCCAATGTGCTTATAACCCTGGGCTCAATCTTTAGTACTATAAGCTTTTCAAACTTCAATTAAATTTATCTAACTTCTACATATACCCCTTGATCTAGTGTGTGTGTGCATGTGTGTACATGAGCATACACACACAGAAATAAATAATTTAAATAAATAAATAAAAATTTAAAAAAGCATTTCGGATGTGATGATGTGTGCCTTTAATCCCAGCACTTGGGAGGCAGAGGCAGGAGGATCTCTAGGAGTTTGAGGCCAGCCTGGTCTACAGAGCAAGTTTCAGGATAGCCAGAGCTATACAGAGAAACTCTGTCTCAAAAAAAAAACCCAAAAAAACAAAAAACAAAACCAAAAAAAAAACACAAAATTTTTTTGTTTCTGTAATTTTTTGAGAGTGGGTCTCTCTGTGTAGCCCTGACTGTCCTGGAACTCGCTCTGTAGTTCTGGCTGGCCTCAAACTCATAGATCCTCCTGCCTCTGCCCTCCCAAGTACTGGAATTAAATGTATGTACCACTACATGCAGCTAAAAAATTTCTTTAATAACATATTTTATTGATTATTTGGAAATTTCACATCATGCACCCTGATCACATTTTCTTCCCAGTTCTCCCAGGTCCACTCCCCACCCTTGTGGCCTCCCCCAAAACAAAAGAGGAAAAAAAAAAAAACAAAATACCAAGTACAATTTGTGTTGCCCATATACTCACTGGAGCACGATCAAACTCCCAGTGGGCAGCCCCTTAAAGAAAACCAGTCCTTCCCCGCCCCCACCAGAATCCATCAACTGTGAAGAGCTACATTTCAGCATCCCTATCACATTTTTTTTAATGCTGTTTATTGAAGGGAGGAGGTCTTAAATACAGGTTTACAGCACAATGAGCGATCCCTGGAGGGCAGAAGTTCGGCAGCTAAAAATTTTTAATAAAAGCATTTAAAGAAAAGTAAGAAGAGGGTTGAGAATACAGCTCAGTGGTAGATTCTAGGATCTTATGGCACATTCCTTTTAGCATCCAGGAACCAGGACTGGCTTGGTGTCCCACGGCAACTTGGAACTCACGCCTGGAACAGGCAGCTGTACCCCGAGTGGACAGAGGTGCAGGGGCCTGACTGCTGGAGAGGTAGGATTTGAATATTCTGGGGAAAGGCATGGTGGGAACTGGATAGGATGAGAGTAAGAACTAGGTTAAGCCGGGCGGTGGTGGCGCACGCCTTTAATCCCAGCACTCGGGAGGCAGAGCCAGGCGGATCTCTGAGTTCGAGGCCAGCCTGGACTACCAAGTGAGTTCCAGGAAAGGCGCAAAGCTACACAGAGAAACCCTGTCTCGAAAAACCAAAAAAAAAAAAAAAAAAAAAAGAACTAGGTTAAACTGAAGCAGGTTGTCAGATTTGGAGAGGAGAGGCCAGCCTCTCAGCTAATGCAGCTTCCCTTCCCAGGTGGCCAGGTGTCTCTGAAGGTCAGAAATGATGGTCCTACGCTGGTTGGTGCAAATGCCTCCTTTTCCATTACCCTACACTTCCCTGAAAGTCAAAGGGTACTGCCAGATGGGCAGATTATCTGGGCCAACAACACCATCATCAATGGTTAGTAACTCTCTCAGTACCTCCTGAACCTTATTCCGGGGGCTCAGATTCCCAGGTATCTCCAGTAAACCCAGGGAAAACCTCCTTCCTCCTCCTCCTCCTCCTCCTCCTCCTCCTCTTCTTCTTTTTGTTGTTTCGAGGTAGGTTTCTCTGTGGTAGTCCTGGCTGTCCTGAACTCACTCTGTACACCAGGCCTCAGAGATCCTCCCAAGTGCTGAGATTAAAGGCATGTACCACCACCACTTGGTTCCTCTTCTATTTTTAAACAGTACTGGGTTCAAACCTAGGCCCTCACACATACTTGTCAAGGGCTATTCCATTTACCGTTATCCCCCATAGACTCTTTTAAAAAATTATGTTTATATTTAATACAGTCAATATTTACTGTAAATATATAAAATGTAATATATACTTATTGCACTAAAATTAGAAAATGCAGATAAAATCATAGTTTCCAAATTAGAGAACAGCAGATTCCTGAAGTTGCATGGGCCTACATGTTAATCCATCACTAGATGTGACCCTGGATGGGTAAGGTGCTGTGAGTTTGTTTTCCTGCCTGTAAAGTGGGTGCGGTACCTTGAGAGATTATTATCAAGATGAAAACAGGCTCATCTATATAAAGCGCTCAGCAGGGTTGCACGGACCCACAGTAAATATTTAATGTTAGCTGCTGCTGCTCTTAATTTCAAGAGAGCCGTTGTAAACATTTTATTCTATGGCTAGCCAGTCTTTTATTTATGTTCGATATGCATATGAATCTCAGGTTGTGGTTTCCATACATCCCCACTCTCCAACTACCATCCCATGTGGGTTACAGTATGGAGATTGTAGTTCCAGCTAAGGAGTACTTCTACAGTACTATTCCACTAGGAACTATTTTAGGAGTTTGAGTGCGCTCAAAAGAATGCCGGGGCTTGAGGTTGACTCTATCTACCTTCCAGGGAGCCAGGTGTGGGGAGGACAGCCAGTGTATCCACAGGAACCTGACGATGCCTGCGTCTTCCCTGATGGTGGACCCTGCCCGTCTGGTCCTCAGCCTCCAAGAAGAAGCTTTGTCTATGTTTGGAAGACCTGGGGTGAGGTCTCCTAGCCACCCCTTCCCAATATAATCCTACCCAAGGAACCCACCCTTCCAAACACCTGGAGGAAATCCTCAACCTCCCTTCTCTGAAGCCTTTTTCAAACTGTACCTCTCCGTTCTCTTTAACCAGTTGCCCCTCCCCCCTTCTCCGCTTTTGTCTCGGAAACTCTCAGGACAATACTGGCAAGTGCTGGGGGGCCCAGTGTCCAGGCTGAGCATTGCAACAGGCCACGCGAGGCTGGGCACACACACCATGGAAGTGACTGTGTACCACCGACGGGGGTCCCAGAGCTACGTGCCCCTTGCACACTCCAGTTCGGCTTTCACCATTACCGGTAAGAGCATAGAGAGGAACAAGGCCAGGCCGGCAGAGGGCATGAGGTAAGGAGACTGGCTTGGACAAGAAAGAGGAAGTAATATCCAACCTTCGAAGGGTTGGGGCACAAAGACCTGGGCAGAGAAACGTGGGGCTCAGAGACAAAGACCTGGCTAGCCAGCTTGTGTGTGGAGAACGTGGCTGTGAAAAAGATGTGACTCAGGCTCGGCTCTTAATTTTTCTGGCTCCAACCCCAGACCAGGTCCCCTTCTCCGTGAGTGTGTCCCAGCTGCAGGCCTTGGATGGAGGAAACAAGCGCTTCCTGAGAAACCAGCCCCTCATCTTTGCCCTTCACCTTCACGATCCCAGCGGCTATTTGGTTGAGGCTGACCTCTCCTACACCTGGGACTTTGGAGACAACTCTGGGACCCTGATCTCTCGGGCAGATGAGATCACTCACACATATCTGGAGTCCGGCTCCGTCACTGCCCAGGTGGTACTGCAGGCTGCCATCCCCCTTGTTTCCTGTGGCTCCTCCCCAGTCCCAGGTACCACAGATGGCTACATGCCAACTGCGGAGACACCTGGAACCACATCTGGACAAGGGACCACTGCAACAGTTGGGGGGACTACAGCTGGCCGGATGCCAACTACAGAGCCCTCTGGGACCACAGCTGTACAAATGCCAACCACTGAGGGCACAGCTACTACTACCGCTGAGCAGCGGCTGACCTCAGCGGTCCTCGATACCACAGTGGCAGAGACGTCAACTGTAGGGGATGTAGGTACCACACCCACAAGGCCCTCTGGAGCCACAGTTGCACAAGCAATGACCACAGAGTTGGTGGCAACTACCACTGAAGAGTTACCCACCCCTGAACCTGAGGGTCCAGATGCTAGCCCATTTCTGCCTACAGAAAGTTCTACAGGTAAGAACACGGGAATGAGGTTCTTGGAGGTGGGCTGTCTGTCAGTTCTCTACACTGAAGTCTTTTAACCCAAGATCCAGACGCTCACCAGTCCTTTCTGTAGCATTGTGGCCGCCTCGGAATTCTCACTAGCTCTAAAGCCTCCAGATTGTCTCAACCACATGCAAGGAGATGTAGCGGTCAGGAAATGAGATTTTTCCCCCAGTCACAAGGGAAGAGTGAGCTGGATTTTTCCCCCCTTCTAAGGATAACAGCTAGGAAGCCAAGGGGACAGCCTATGGTCATTCACAAAGCTCTATCATATGTCCTGTTCAAGCATAAATGCAGAGATGCTTCAGGTTCTGACAGACTGATTCTCCATTCTCCACTCCTGGATTCCCACCGCAAAGCAACATAAATGAGTGAGAGCTGATGCTGAATGGGCTGACACAGGCCAACTGTTTAGTCCAAGACCTAGCCCAGTGTGGGAACATGATAAGTATCTGGAGACTTTTTTTTTCTTCATTAAAAAAATTAATGTGTAAAGTGTTTTGCCTGCATTTATATGTACCGCTTGTGTGCCTGGTGCTCATGGAGACCAGAAAGGGCATCAGGTCCCTTCCCCTGGATGTGGAGGTACAGATGGATGTAAGCCACTATGTAGGTTCTGGGAATCAAACCCAGTTTCTCTACAAGAGTAACCAGTACTTTAAACCACTGAGGCATTTCTCCAGCCCTGGAGTTGTGTGTGTGTGTGTGTGTGTGTGTGTGTGTGTGTGTGTGTGTGTTTGTCTACAAGAGTAACCAGTACTTTAAACCACTAAAACATCTCTCTAGCCCTGGAGTATGTGTGTGTGTGTTCTCTTTCCCTGACTATGTGGGCAAAATAAACAAACAAACAAAAACAGCATTTTTTTTTCCTTTCTAGTATAGCTTCCTTATATATAAAACGAGACCTACCAGATCTTTGCTGATTCAAAGCCTACTGTACTTGGGGCAAAGCCTGCTTGGTCTCTGTCTCCAAGAGAGTAATATCTCTTGACTTTGCCCCCTTAAATCTTTTCCTGCCAGGATCCATTACCCCTCTACTGGATGGCACAGACACCTTAATGCTTGTGAAGAGACAAGTTCCCTTGGATTGTGTTCTATATCGATATGGTTCTTTTTCCCTCACCCTGGACATTGTCCGTGAGTCTTGCCTATGTTGGGGACTGAGGAAGGGAGGTATAAGCTGCCTGGGCTGGGCAGTAGTAGTAGCATACCTTGGGAGAAATTACTTGAGAATACAGAGATAGTATTGGAAGAGCATCCCTTGGGCTTTCTTGTGTATGGTCTTGATAGAGGAATACTAACTTAAAAAGTTGCAACCTTGCAGAGGGTATTGAAAACGCTGAGATCCTGCAGGCCGTACCATCCAGCAAGGGTGATGCGTTTGAGCTGACTGTGTCCTGTCAGGGCGGGTGAGTGTCCTGCTGGTCGCCCTGTGAACTCTTTGGAATGACTGTCATTCTTTCTGTTGTTCTGCCCCTTCTCAGATCTCTTGATGGAAACTCATACTCTTTCAGGCTACCCAAGGAAGCTTGTACGGACATTTCCTCGCCAGGGTGCCAGCCCCCTGCCCAGAGGCTATGCCAGCCTGTGCCGCCGAGCCCAGACTGCCAGCTGGTCCTACACCAGGTGCTGAAAGGTGGCTCAGGGACCTATTGCCTCAATGTGTCTTTGGCTGACGCCAACAGCCTGGCAGTGGCCAGCACCCAGATTGTTGTTCCTGGTGGGTACTTAGACAAGAACTAGGAGAATGGGAGTGGACAGAGGACAGCTGGGCGGGGACAGACACTGAGGCAGCATCTGGGGTTCTGCTTACAGGTCAAGGCGGCGGCCTTGGGCAGGCTCCCTTGGTTGTAGGTGTCTTACTGGGGTTGGTGGCTGTGGTCCTTGCATCTCTGATTTATAGGTAAGAGCTCTGCCATCCTGGTCCTCATCCACTGTCACCACCACCCACGCTTCCTTCAGGGGTGACAGCATGGTGTCCAGGAGAGCCCAGGCGGGGCAAGTCAGACAGGCCTGGGCTGCAGTCTTCTTGTGGTACCTTTGAAGTAGCTTTAAATGTCTGAGGATTAATGGTATTAGAAGCTATGTGGGCAAGCCTCTTGGGGTGTGAAACAATTGATGATGTGAAGCTGTGGTTACTATTAAGAGTGGGTCAGAGGTCAGCGATTTGGCTTGGTGGGGAGGCACCTGCCACAAGGCTGACCACCTGAAATCAATCCCCGGTGCCCATAGGACAGGAGAGAACCAATTCCCCAAAATTTCCCTCTGGCCTCCATGTGTGTACCGTGTTACGCGCTGCCTCTGCCCCCCCAAGTAAATAAAAGTAAAAACAACAACAACAAAAAAAGGGCAGTTGGGGTGAAGCAAGTTATTCACCAATGAGAAAGGTAGATTCAGCAGGACATGGTGGCACACGCCTTTAGTTTCAGCATTTAGGAGGCAGAGGCAGGTGGATCTCTGTGAGTTTGAGGATAGTCTGGTCTACAGAGCGAGTTCCAGGACAACCAGAGCTACATGGTAAGACCCTGTCTCAAGAAGCGGGGTATGTGTGTGTGGGGGGGGAGATGGAGACTCCCCAGCTAGCTAGAGGTGCTAAGGGCCTCAAAGTGGAGACATTTATAGCGGTAAGGGGGGATGGGTGGCAGGGGCTAGAGAGACAAGAATAGTTAAGCACTAGGTAGGGTAAGGAAGAGTGGAAAGAGCTACAGTCACGGCCATAACCCTGGGATGTAGGATTTGCACAGGCAGGATGCCATTGCTGACCACTTCCCCTTCTTCTCTCCATACTAGGCGCAGACTTAGGAAGCAGGGCTCAGTTCGTCCTGCTTCCCAAATGCCACACGGTAGCACCCACTGGCTGCGCCTGCCCCCAGTCTTCCGCACTCGCCACATCGGTGAAAACAGTCCGCTCCTCAGCGGGCAGCAGGTCTGAGTACCCTCACGATGCTATGTGTTTCCTGGGGTTGACGGCAATACCCGCATTTCCTGAGGTCTTCCCTTGGAGACAACCAATACCGGAAATAAATTCTCAGAACCTTGCGCTAGGGTTTTTTTTTTTGTTTTGTTTGTTTTGTTTGCTCTTCAATCTGTCTCTAAAGGGGTGAAGGTAATAAAAAGAGATGTATCGCCAGGCGGTGGTGGCGCACGCCTTTAATCCCAGCACTCGGGAGGCAGAGCCAGGCGGATCTCTGTGAGTTCGAGGCCAGCCTGGACTACCAAGTGAGTCCCAGGAAAGGCGCAAAGCTACACAGAGAAACCCTGTCTCAAAAAACCAAAAAAAAAAAAAAAAAAAAAAAAAAAAAAAGAGATGTATCACTCATTTAGCAGATATCTCAGTGATGGAAAAAGACACTTTATTAGATGAGGCACTTTTAATGTTATGTGTTTTTGGTATGAATGTGTCTGTGGGAACAGTGAGGTGGTGCAGGGTAATAAATACTGTGAAGGAGAGAAACATCCTTCTGGGCTGACAGGAGCATGTGGCAGCAATGTACAGAGCATAGAGGGAAATCTCCAGGAACAGGGAGGTGGGCACAGGGCAGAGGGTATCCTCAACTCCAAAAGCCAAATAAATTGTAGGAGCTGGAGGCTGGGCCCATGAGCATAGGCATCTGGTTCTTATGGGTGATCTTGATCTGAAAGGGAAGGAATCATATTTGGAAGCTTGTCCTGGTGCCTTATGGCTGAGACATTAGGGTTCTGGGGTACTGAGGAACCAGAGTTTGGGAAGAATGGTGCCCAGGGGACCAAGGGCACCAGGAAGAAGTAAAGAAGCTGCAGAATGGAGACTTAGGTTCTATGGAGCCCAAGGGTCCAGCTTCTGCAGGCATAGGCAATACTCACTGTGCAAGGAGCCTGCATCCAGGGTTCCCCATCAACTTGCATGGGGAGGGTTTTTGTGGTCCTGTGGGAGGTCAAGGAAGATGGTTTGAGATTTTTCTTACCAACCAAAACATTAAAACTCTGGCTTTCTCAGGTTGGCTTTGAAACTTCTGTCATGGAGGAAAAGCTAAGAAAGTGATTCCCACCATTCCCATATACCACCACTTTCCTTTCCTCAGGAGCCCTGGCTGGAGTCCTCCTTACCGGAATGTGATCTCGGAGCATTTGGCCAGGCGATGTCCACAATTCTTGAGCTTGGTATAGATCTGGCCCATCTCAATGACACCCTCTATTCCTACTACTTCCAACCGCTTGTCACTCATGTCTGGGGGTTCAAGGTAGAAAGGAGAGGTATTCCTGTAAGACGTCACACCTTCCCCCAGCTCCAACCACTTTAGCTCCGAGGACACTTGTCTCACCTGGCACACAGGTTTTCAGGATATCGGGGTCTGTAATGATTTTGGCCACGTTCCCTAATGCCTGGTTGATTGAACTGGTATCCCCATGAAGTTTCCGGGTATCACCCCAGAGGTTGGAGCCGCCATGCATGCTGGTGATATTCAGTACTGCAATGCCTTCCAGGGATACTTCACTGAGATCCAGCGGCTTCCCGCAGATCTGAGGGGAGAGGGACAGAACTACAGCTAGAGAGGGTGTAGATTCTCACCTTATAACACTGCCATGAAATATGGCTGCTCCTGCTGGGATCAGGTGTGCAACAAAAGAAAGCAAAAAAAAAAAAAAAAAAAGACCTAACATATATATGTGTGTGTGTGTGTGTGTGTGTGTGTGTGTGTGTATACATATATACATATATATATATGTATATACACATATATATAATTGTTTTTTGAGATAGTAGTTTTTTTTCTGCATAGCACTTGGCTGTTCTAGAACTCACTCTGTAAAACAGGCTGGCCTGAAAAATCAGAGACCCACCTGCGTCTGCCTCCTGAGTCCTGGGATTAAAGACTTGTGCCACCTAAGAAATGTATTTATTAGCCCAGGATGGTGGCCCATACCTTTAATCCCAGCAAATTGGGAGACAGGCAGATGGATCTCTGTGAGTTTGAGGCCAGCCTAGTCTACGTATTGAGCTCCAGGACAGTCAGATCTACATAAGAGACCCTGTATAAAAAAAAAATCAAAAATGTATTATTATTTGTCTGTATGTGAGGGGATGGGGGGGACGTGTATGTGCACTTCTGTAGTAAAGAGGACAATTTGCAGGAGTTAGTTCTTTCCTTACACTTTCAGTCATAGGGACTGAGCTCTGGTCATCAGTTGGTTACCTGTTGAACCATCTCACCAGCCCAGGGACTAGTATATCTTAAGGACTTGGCAAGTCAGGGTTGGAGAGCTGGGTAATCAAATAAATATAGGTCCACACATGTGTGACTTTCCCAGGGGCTCCTGAGTAGGATGAAACTGGAATACAAGAAAATGAAAAACTTGTAATCTCAGCACTTAGGGCTTTGAGGCAGGAGGATTGCTACAAGTTCCAGGCCAGCCTTGGCTACAATGTGATACCCCATTAAAGCCGGGTGGTGGTGGTGCACGCCTTTAATCCTAGCACTCGGGAGGCAGAGACAGGCGGATCTCTCTGAGTTTGAGACCAGCCTGCTCTACAAAACAACTCCAGACAGGCTCCAAAGCTACACAGAGAAACCCTGTCTCGGGGAAAAAAAAACAAAAAAGTGGAAAAAAAAAGTTGAAAAGCTATGGGTTCAGTGGGTATTATCATACGCACCTCAACTGTCAAAAACTCTTCCAGCTTTTTGCATGTTGAGAAGATGGATTCAGATGTGGCAAATTCCAAGTACCACAGCTTGTTTTTCATTCTGCATCAGCCCCAACAAAAAGACCAGAAGAGAAGAGACCGTTACACAGTGACAAGAAAAGGGGCCAGCTTCCCAACTCCGGGGGGGTGGGGTGGGGGGGGGTGGCAGTAGCTTTGGCTCGGGTGTTTCCTCTCGGCTGTTTCTGCCTACATCTAATAGCCTTTGGTGTCAAATTTGGTCACAAATCCAGTCTTTGGAGACAGGATTCTTCTGTGTAGGCCTTGCTGCCCAGGAACTCAGAGATCCTCCTGTCTCTGCCTCCCAAGTACTGAATTAAAGGCATGCGCCACCACTACGCCCGACACAAATCCAGTCTTGACACCGAGTGTCCGTTCCGTCTCTTTTTTTAACATCTTACGCATGTGGTGTGGTCAATCATGCATACGGATGTCAGACGACAACCTGCAAGAGTTAGATTCCCCCTTCCTACCATGTGGGTTCCAAGGGTCAAACTCAGGTCATCGAGCTTACGTGGAGATCACCACCAGGCCACCCTTCTCCCCTCTTGTTTTTTTTTTCCTCACCTGCTGTTGAACCTCTCAGGATATTTCTCTCGCATGAGGTGGAATTGGTGAGCAATTGAAGCATCCTGGAGAGTTACAAGCATATCTTAGGCACCAGACTCCTCCCTGTTCAGAGGTCTTTCTCTACTAAGTTCTCTTCCCTTTCCTCTCCCGCCCCACCCTTCCACTCTTCTTTTTGCCTCCTCGTTCTGGAGTAGAGCATGCCTCCCGTTCTGGAGTAGAGCATGCCTCCCCGTTCTGGAGTAGAGCATGCCTCCCCGTTCTGGAGTAGAGCATGGCTCCCCGTTCTGGAGTAGAGCATGCCTCCCCGTTCTGGAGTAGAGCATGCCTCCCCATTCTGGAGTAGAGCATGGCTCCCCGTTCTGGAGTAGAGCATGGCTCCCCGTTCTGGAGTAGAGCATGCCTCCCCGTTCTGGAGTAGAGCATGCCTCCCCGTTCTGGAGTAGAGCATGTCTCCCCGTTCTGGAGTAGAGCATGTCTCCCCGTTCTGGAGTAGAGCATGTCTCAAGTGCCTCCTGCAACCCACACCACTATGTACCTAACTCCCAATTTCCCTGTGTCTCTTCCTTTCTGATCTCCTCCAGCCTTGCCCACACTTCTCCCTTCTCCCCCACCCTACTCCACTGACCACACCAATGGAGAAGTAGTTATTGATGATTTGAGAGGGGACTGGATCACTCTTCTCATTATTTCCTTGAGGTATCACTTCCAGTAACCATCGATCGAGATACACCACCTTACTTATCTCTATGTCCTTGAGAATCTTCCCCAAATTCTCACCTTCGTAACCTAGGGGTGGAGAAGACAGGCTTGCACGGGTCCCCGAACCTCAGAGAGCCTACTCTGAGCCCATCTGCACAGATTCCCGAGGACCCTCGCCCCCAGGCTTCTGCCAGTGAAAGGGCAAGACGTCCAAGCTCCATGAGCCAATGGCAAAGTCAGCATCTCGCTATCTCTTCCACCCTGGTGTGGAAGATTAACATTCCTAGTGTGTGTGCATATACAGACATTACTCCAAATACACCCTGAAGAGTGAAGGACAAACCAGGAAAATGCTGGAAAAGATGAGTGACAGCAGGTTGTGGTGGCTCATGCCAATCCCAGCATGTGGCAGGCCAAAGGAGGACCACTGACAATTTAAGACCATCCCAGGCTACATGGGAGTTCAAGGCCAGCCTCAAGACACAAAAACATAGCTATGCAGTGGTGGTGCACACCTTTAATCTGTGTAGTCAGGGCTACACAGAGAAACCCTGTCTCTAGCAAACAACAACAACAACCCCACAAAAATATGCCAAAAAATAAATTTGTTATTTTTGGATTTTGGGACAGGGTTTCTCTGTGTAGCCTTAGCTGTCCTGGAACTTGCTCTGTAGCCCAGGCTGGCCTTGAACTCAGAGATCCCACTGTCTCTGCCTCCCAAGTGCTGGAATAAAGGTGTGCATCACCACCGCGCGCCAATAACTTAAAATTAGGTTAAATACACACAAGCTTAAAAGGAGAATGACGAAGATATGCCTTGGTAGTAGAACATGTGTCTACCATGTGCAAGAACTACGTTCCATCCCCAGCATTGTAAAACAAAAAACTACAAAAAACACCAATTCAAAACTGGAAAAAAAAAATCACCTATAACAGATTACATTCCCCAGCATTAAAGAAAAATGCTTAAAAAGCCTGGGGCATAGCTCCGTTGTAGTGTGTGCCTAGCATTGTGTACGGTCCAAGGTTTAATCCAAAAACAAAACAAAAATCAAAGCCAAAACAAATTTACAGATCAGTGCATTGAAACCCATAACGAAAAAGTAACACAGAAGAAATACCAATAATATCCTATTAAAGATGTTCAATGCTACTATAATCAGAAGAAACTTAAAACCATTAGCTTTGTGTTGCTTATCAGATTAAAGTAATGATTAATGGGCTTATTAATAAACTGTCACTCTCATTTGCTGTTAGCATAAGTAGATCACTCATGTTTTAGAAGGTAATTCGGCAATTTTTTAACCAAAATGTTGTAGTGGACAAGGAGTGAACAGAATTAGGGAGGAGGCAGACTTTCAAAGAGGCAGCTTAAAATTTCCAAATACTAATTAGCACCCCTTAAATTTCTTATCACTGCAGAGCCAAAAACCACCAGAGGCGGGGCATGGTGGTGCATGTGTTTAATCTAAGCATTTGGGAGGTAGAGGCTGTTGGATAGAGGTAAGAGTTTGAGGCCAGCCTGGTTGACGTATCAAGCCAATACGACACAGTGGGACCTTCTCAAAATTGAAACACAAAAACAACCCCTTCCTCACCCCAAAACAGACCAGTAACTTGGTACTTCAGACTAGACAAAGTTAAGGGTAAATCGTTTGCAGTAAATACAATAGCTAATCATTCCTGGCCCCAAACTAACACAAACTAAAAGGTAAATTTGTGGCATTAAATTTAGTTAGCTATTTTGTTTAATTATTATTAATCTTTATTTTATGTGTATAGATGATTTGCCTGCCTAAGTGTCTGCATACCACATGCGTGCCTAGTGCCTACAGAGGTCAGAAGAGGGCACTGGGTCACCTGGAACTGGAGTTATGTATGGTTGTGAGTTGCCATGTGGGTGCTGGGAATTGAACTTGTGTCCACAGTCAGCATTCTTCCCCCCACCCCCCCCAGACAGAGTTTCTCTGTGTAGCTTTGGAGTCTCTCCTGGAACTCATTTTGTAGACCAGGCTGGCCTTGAACTCACAGATATTCGCCTGCCTCTGCCTCCCGAGTGCTGGGATTAAAGGCGTGCGCCACCACCATCCAGAAAAAAAAAAAAAAGGTTTGAAGGGGCTAGAGAGATGGCTCAGTGGTTAAGAATTCTGACTGTGGCCGGGCAGTGGTGGCACATGCCTTTAATCCCAGCACTCGGGAGGCAGAAGCAGTCAGATCTCTATGATTTCAGGCCAGCCTGGTCTACAGAGCAAGTTCCAAGGCTACACCAAGTCTCAGGCCCGGAGGTGGTGGTGCACGCCTTTAATCCTAGCACTCAGGAGGCAGAGCCAGGTGGTTCTCTGTGAGTTCGAGGCCAGCCTGGTCTACAGAGGGAGTTCCAGGACAGGCACCAAAGCTACACAGAGAAACCCTGTCTCGAAAAACTGAAAAACAAAAATCTATGCCACAAAATGTGATATAGGTATTGGAAACAATAAAATACAGTAATTAGGAAAGACTGTCAAGACACGCAATTAATGAAGAAAGTCCTGGAACAATCTGTCCAGTATGACCTTGTGTGTTTGTTAAAATGTCACGTGTGTGCTGGGCTAAAGAAGCTCAGAGGGTAAAATGCTTGCCCACAGGATGGGGACCAGAGTTGGAATATACAGAACCAAGAAAAGTTAGACACAGTAGCATGGGTACTGTATTCCCAAAGCTTCCTCAGGGAGCTGGGAGCTGGATACAGAATACCTGGAAGTCCATAAGCCAGCTAACCTGGCATATCTATCAGAAAAAAAGACAAGAGGCCCTAGATTTCAAAGATAGTGGTAGAGGATCCACCCTGGAGGTTGTCCTTCTGACCTACACACACACACACTGTGGCACACACATACCTGCATTTACACACACATATGCACACACACCAAAATAAAACTATGTGTGGGCACATACATGCACATAAATACATATATTAAAAAAACACACACACAGGGCAACAGTGAGGTGGCTCAGTGGGTAAGGGCATATGCTGCCAAGCCGGAGTACCTGAGTTCGATCCCTGAGACCCACATATTATTAGAAGGAAAGAACCGACTCCTGCAAGTTGCCCTCAGACATCCTCATGTAACCATGGCATCCTGCCTGCCACTAATTAAATAAATGTAAATTTTTAAAAAAAGCAGAAGCTGGGCATGTTGACACATCCATGTAATCTCAGCACCTAGGAGGCTGAGGCAGAAGGATCACAAGGCTACATTGCAACAATCTGTTTCAAAAGGAAGGAAGAAAAGAAAATGATGAGAAGATTTTGTATTGGTGTGTATCCAGAATAGCATAGAGAGGTAGACCCCAAAACTTCAGGGAGTAGCTTATAACTGTTAACTTTCTGGGCATGTGTATCTGAAATATTTATATTAATTTGTTTACTATTAAGTATTTATTGTTTTTGTTGGGTTTGAGCAGCTGTGGGACTGGCGGGTGAGAAAGATTTGTCCTGACCCTGGGCCAGGCAGGACCAGAAAAACTTTTAAGTTTTTTTTTTTTAAGATTGTTTAGGACTCTTGCCAAAACCAGTATTTTAGACATAGCTCTCTATTTAACTGTTTTTCTTCTTCTTTTGTTTTGTTTTGTGACAATTTTTCTCTGTTTAACAGCCTTGGCTGTCCTGGAACTCGATCTGTAGACCAGGCTAGCCTCCAACTCACAGGGATCTGCCTGCCTCTGCCTCTGCCTCCTAAGTGCTGGGATTACAATTCTTCACTTAGCCTCTGAAATTTCACTCTCTTTTGTTACAGGACCCTTCATAGAAGCCATCTCTTCATAGCTTCTCTTTCCAAAGACCCACATTCGAATCTTAACACTCATACAGGGGAGCCAGGTGTGGGGCCTTTCTGTGTAGTCCCAGTTTTCATTCCCAGACAGGAAAATGAGTCCAGAAGTTTGAGGCCTTACTGGACACAGTAAGACTCTGCCTCAGATAATACCAATTATCACAGTAAAGTACAATATCAAAGAAACTCCCTTCCACGGTAAGAGAGATTTTCTGCACATGGGATTACATTAGGGATCTTGAATGGGTGATTATCCTGGGTTATCTGGATGGCCCCGAAACAATCACAATCATGATTATCAGGGCAAGGAGGCTAGGGACAAGTGTGGTAGGGCAAGTCTGTGATCCTAGCACTCAGGCTGATGGGAGAGAACTGCCTCAAGTTTAAGGCCTGTCTGTGCTGCACAGTGAGTTCCAGGTCAGCCTGGTCTATGTAGTGAGGTCCTGTCTCAAAAACCCAAACAATGGGCCAGTGAGCTGGTTCAGCAGATGAAGGTGCTTGATGCCAACCCTGATGACCTGAGTTTAATCCTCAGGACCCACTTGGTGTAGAGAACAGACTCCTGCAAGTTTTCCTCTGACTTCCAGACGACCATTGTGGCACACTCATGCCCACATACATGCATACACACACATAAACATACACAAATATATGATTTTTTTTTTAAATCAAGGAGCTAAGACAATGTAACAGAATGGAAAGACAACAGTCCTGGCTGGAACACGGCCTGTCAGCCAAGGAACTTAGGCAGCCTCTGGAAACTGGCAAGGAACTCTCCCCAAGAGCCTCCTACAGACTCTGCGGACCCCTTGGTTTTAGTGAAACCTAGTTTGGTTTCTGTTTTGCACTTCTGAGCTCCACAGCTGAAGGTCCCAATTTCACGTCGTTTAGGTCACTTTTGGAGCGGCAAAACGCTGCTGCAGATACCTTTACTGACCCTGCTGAGCCCTTACTAAGGTGTTGGCCGTGGTCTTCCTGTCCTTGTTTGCCTCTTAGCACCTTCCTTTGTAATTGATGATCTCATCATCTACAGTCAGGTGACTCTCCAAAGTGAATTTTCAGCCTTGACTTCTCTTCTAAATCCTTGACATTTCTCTTTTTCTTCCACTTAAAAAAATACATTGTACTCCTGTGTGTGCACTTGCGTGCTTGTGTGTGTATGTGCGTGTGTGTGTTTGTGTATGTGTGTGTGTGAGAGAGAGCACGTGTGCGTGCGTGCGTGCCACGGTGTGCATCTGGACATCAGAGGACAACTTTGTGTACCTGGTTCTCTCCTTCTGCCCTTCTGGGAAATGAAATCAAGTCACCATGCTTTTACCTGAGGCGGAATCTCACCAGTGTGCACACACAAACACACACTGTGTGTGCACGACGGGATCTTACTATGTAATCCTGGCTGGTCTGGAACTCGCTAAATTGATAGATCAGGCTGGTTTCAAACTCACAGAGATCTGTGTTCCTGTTTCCTGAGTGCCCAAATCAACCGGCAACATTTTTGTTGTTACAGGACCTCACTCTAGCCAGGCTGACCTGGAACTCTCGATGTAGTCCAGGTTGACCTGGAACTCAAGGCAATCCTTTTGCCTCAGCCTCTGAGATTATTGGTGTGAGCCACCGTGACATATATTTCTAATTACCCACCACGGCATCTTCATCTGGCTACTCCACTGATGCCCTAGCTTAACATGCACCACACTGAATCACTATTTCTGGAAATGGCCTTCCTTCTACAGTCCCATCACAATAACAGGCATTCCCATCTAATCAGTCACAAAACCAGGAAAATATCCAAACCTATCTTGATCTACTTTCTCTCTGCTCCATCAGTTACCAAGCTTCTACCTTATCCTTTCCTGTCTCCCTCAGGCGACCCATCCTTTTCAGAGCTACTGTGGTGATATTCCTTTTACTTCCCATTCCTCAAAGCTTATGATATTTTTTTGTGTCTACATAAATTTACCTTAGTTCTGTATATTCTAGTGGTTGTGATTCAGGTTGACTAAACAGAACCCTGTGAGAGTCTCACTGACAGAACACAGTGAAGACTCAATATGTAATTTCAAAGTGCCTAACACAATAATGGAGAAGTCAGATGAAAACTAGTCATACATACACAACACACACACACACACACACACACACACACACACACACACACACACAACCAAATAAACAAAACATAATAAAACAACAAAAAAAAAAATCTTACATTATAAAATAAAGTCAGAAAGCTTTCAATTTTTTTCCTTAATTTCCTTGAGGAATGACTGTGTTGAAGGTTTACACGTTCAAATGTTTCAATGGCTTCAAAGGACGAGTGGATGGCTAACGAGCAGGAAGCCAGACAGACTGAGGTGAACTGGAGAATATAATTAGAAAATATCTGACCCCCATGGGCGCCGGGCATGCACATGGTGCACAGGCATACATGTAGGTGAAACACATAGAGTAATAATTTTTTTTAAAATACAACAACAAAAATTGCAGGCAAATGGATGGAACTAGAAAATATCATCATGGGTGAGGTAACCCAAACCCAGAAGGACAAACATGGTCTGTACTCACTCATAAGTGGATACTAGATATAAAGCAAAGAACAATCAGACTGCAACCCACAGATCCAGGGAGGCTACACAGCAGGGGGGACCCTAGGATGACTGTGGCTTAAAATAAGTTTTGGTTTACTCAATTACTGGGCAAGCCTCAGTGCAACATTTCACTATTAGGATAAGGATTTATACTGTATCAAGCTGATAATAGAAAAATAAATAAATAAAATGAAAAAAATACAACAACAAAAAAATACAACAAAGAGCCAGGTGGTGGTGGCCCACGCCTTTAATCCCAGCACTGGGGAGACAGAGGTAAGTGGATCTCTGTGAGTTCAAGGCCAGCCTGGTCTACAGAGCGAGTTCCAGGACATCCAGGAGCATTGTTGCACAGAGAAACCCTGTCTCCAAAAGCCAAAAAAAAAAAAAAAAAAAAAAAAAAAAAGATATGGGTCTTGGGGTTATTAGGAAAGGGGACTGTCACCCTCAACTCTTTGGTTCACAGTGTCATGCTTCTTTGTGGCCACTCTACTTTGGTTCCCATCTGTGTGTGGCCCTTTTCTTCCCCTACTCTGTCCTTATATCAGATCCTTAGGATGTTTCGCCTGTCTGTAAGACTGTGCACCACGTGCATGTAGTACCCACAGAGGACGCAGTCAGATCTTCTAGGACTGGAGTTGCAAAAGGTTGTGAGCCGTCGTGTGGGTGTTGGGAATTTTGTCCAGATCCTTTGGAAGAACAGTCAGTGCTTTTAACCGCTGAGCCATTTCTCCAGCCCTGTGTCTTTCTTTTAAAGCTCCCCCATGCTCCAGCAAAACTCTCCTTGACCACTTACCTCTTCCCCATCTTAGGCAACGAGCCAGATCGTTCCCAGTGCCCAAGGGCAATACAGCTACCGGAGGCACAACGGGCAAGTTGGCTTTGTCTGAGGAGGCAGGTGAAGAGAAGGATGGAGGGAGCTGGCCCTGGAACACCACTTCCCCCATCCCCTGCCCAGAGGGAACCTGTCCCTGCACTGACCAATGGACTCTAGAATCCAGCCTACTGTGCCGTCTCCACCACACACCAATACCCGGAATTGAGGAACGTCTTTGAAAAATGTGAGCCTGAGATAAAAGGGAAGGAGAGAAAATGAAGAAGGATAACTGGAATTTACCCAGGTCCTGGACAGATAAGTCACATCTTGTCTCTCACTCCTATGACCCTGTTTCCTGTGGTGAATATCACTTTATGTAAAGGTGTGTTACATCTGTTTATGCCGCATTTGCTTAATTATGTAAAGATGTGTTGCTGTTTCACCTTGCCTGCCTAAGGCACCTGACTGGTCTAATAAAGAGCGGAACAGCCAAAAGCTGGGCAGGAGAGGGATAGGTCGGGCTAGCAGGCAGAGAAAATAAGTAGGAGGGATCTAGGTTTGAACAACAAGAGAGAAGAGAGAGAATGAGGGAGAAAGAGAGAGACGCCCAGAGCCAGCCAGCCACACACAGAGCAAGCAGTGACAGTCAGACATACAGAAGGAAAGACAGACAAAAGGCCCCGAGGCAAAAGGTAGATGAAGAGAAACAGGTTAATCTAAGTTATAAGAGCTAGCGGGACAAACGTAAGGCCGAACGCTCGTAACTATTAACAAGTCTCTGTCATGGTTTGGGAGCTGGCCGGTGGCCCAAAGGAAAGCCTGTTACAGTTCCCCCTTGTCCAAAGACTCTAGGGCTGAGAGGCTGGCTCGGCTGGTAAAGCATTGGCTTTGCAAGCTCCAGGACCTGAATTTGATCCCCAGAACCAACAAAAACTGCCAGACATGGTGGTGTGTGTTGTCGTTATGGAGTTGCTGGGGAAGTGAGCCAGAGGACCTCTGGGCTCACTGGTCAACCAGGTCAGTCTAATTAGTAAGCTCAGAGATGACTTCCTTAAGGGTGATACCTGAAACCGTTCCTTGGCTTTGATTTGCCCAAACACCCTCCCCCACAACTCATCCTTCACACACACACACACACACACACACACACACACACACACACACACCCCACACACATCCTTCACACACACACACACACCACATACACACACACACACACACACACACACACACACACACACACACACACACACACGAGCCCTCACACCTTGTGATACAGCGTCTCACCTCCCATACGCCTATACTCACCCTTGCTCTGGACCGTCCTTCAGGTTGAACACCTGCCGAGGGTTTAGCATGTACTGGAACTTCCAAAGCACCCTGTGTGAAAGGAAAGGGGATGTGGCGTGGGTGACAGGAATGATACTCTGTACTCCATTTTCACAAACTCTGCTTGAGGATCCCTCCATACACACTCCCTTCCTCCCTCCACATGGACTCTCCCTCTCCCTGTCTCCTCACCTCTGCCCCTGCTTCCCTCCACTCTTCAGATTGACAAAGACTAGGAGTGGGTGGGTGTTGGGAACAGGGTCAATCTGCGGGGGGAAGAAAATAAAGAAAGCAGGATTTTGTCAAAGATAAAGGTGGGTCCTTCAGAGCCATGGGACTGGCATTCCCCCAAGATGCTTCCCCTCTCCTCCTGTTTCCTCTCCCCTCTCCTACCAAGGTGGACCTTTTATTAGAGAGCAGGTATCCCCTACTTTCTACTTCAGCCCCTCCCAAGAAGGCTCCGATCAAACGCTGGCATGACCTCTAGGCCCAAGACCCTCAGCCCTGTACCCGAAGAGCCTTAATGTTGCAGAGGGTTGTATCATCTGTGGTCTTCAGTTTGCGATCTTGTCCAGATGCCTGGGAGGGGAACAATGAAGGGAACGGAAAGGTGGGTTATCCAGGCATCGAATGAGCGGGTCTCACTCGAACCCTAACGGTCCTGGCTCTCTGTTCTAAATGTCACTCTGGCTGAGTACGGTGGCTCACACATACATAGTGAGAAACAATAACAAAACCACACATCAAACCAAAGGTGTTCTCTCTGTAGAGGTGTGTGCATGGGAAAGCGGGGCTATGCTCCTGTCGCTCCCCAGCTGCGGCTTGACGGTCTTACCAGGACCCTGGGGTAGATGGAAGATGGAGGCAGTATATGGTCACGGAGCAGCCCACAGTCGCATTCAGGACCCACAGCCTGCAGACATTCATCATGGATCTGGGAGCACAAAAGGAGAACAAATCACGCGGGAGACTTTTATCAGTCCTCAGCTTGAAAGTCCGGACAGGAAAGCGAGCCCTCGGGAGCAAGAATAACCACGGCAGTAAGAGAGGACGACTCTGGGTCTCAGCCCCTGAACTGACCTCCAGGTGGCACCACACACAATGCAGTCCTGTCAGGCTGTGGTAGATTCGGATCTTTTTCTGGCAGCGGTCACAACGCCCAGAATCACAGCCTCCTCGAACCCACACGTGTGACTGGACCTTGGGGGGGGAAAGGCAGGCCCTTGTCTGGGAGGGTCTTGGGTGGGGGGAAGGGGAGCAAAGAGGCTAGGGACCAGGCCAGGATGGGGTTGGCAGTGTGGGGATGAATCGGGCACGGGGTCACTCACACCAATGTCTTTCCGAGACTTGGCATAGGTGCTGACTTCACAAGGCAGGGCCTTCATGGCACAGTGGTCATGAACAGTGTACTTACAGACTGAGGAGAGGGAAGAAGGTCAGAGCCTTAGCCGTGGCCTTTTCCCTCTTCTCCTTTCTTGGGAGTGAGGAAGGATCGCTTACTGGAACAAAACATGCAACCCTTGCTGCCAGGTTGTGGTAGAGAATTAAAGTCTGCAAGGGCAAGCCTTGTCTCTCTCCTAAAAATGCACATGCCGCCTCCTCTCTGTCTCTACATTGTCCCCATGCTAGGCTGGAACTGACATAGAGAGTCCAGGCCAGCCAAAGCTACAGAGTGAAACCTTGTCTCCATAAAATAATTGAGTCTTTGATGTACTGCAAAACAATAATGCCTCCCTTTAATGTGTTAATTATATTTATTTATGTGTGTGGGTATGCATGTGCCACAACGTATATGTACAGCTCAGAGGACAACTCTCTAGTCAGTTCTCTCCTTCCATTATAGGATCTAGGGATTGAACTCAGGACAACAGGTTTGGCAACAGTATCTTTACCTACTGGATGATCTCACCAACCCGTTCGTTCGTTTTGAGACAGGGTGTACTTTAGGCTGACCTTAAGCTTCCTCTGTAGCTGAGGCTAGCCCCGAACTCCTGATCCTCCTCCCTACAGCTGAGGAATGCTATTACTGCAATTTTTAAAAAAGAATAAAGATTATTTTAAAAAAGGAAAAAGGCATATAGACTTGGGTTTGAATCTGAGCACAGCACACAATAATAATTAATAATAAAAGTTACTTTGCGGCTGGGCATTGGTGGCACACGCCTTTAACCCCAGCACTTGGAGGCAGACAGGTGAATCTCTGTGAGTTCGAGGCCAGCCTGGTCGACAGAGTGAGTTGCAGGACAGCCAAGGCTACACAGGGAAACCCTGTCTCAAAACAACCAAATAAATAAATAAATAATAAATAAAAGTTATGTTGCTTTTGCAGGATTATATAGATCGAATGTCAGAGCCTAAAATTCAAATCCTTGTTTCTCTGAGTTCATAACATCACGTCCCCACTAATTGCTGGGGTTCCCTTTTCCCATACTCCCCGGGTATCATCACTCACAGTTACAGCTCAGTCCCTGTTTGCCGAGGCCAATGTTCAACTCGCACAGGTTGCAGTAGACTGGTCTGGAGAATCTCTTGGGTCTCCACATATGTTCCCCATTATCCCTCATAGTCTAGGAGGTCACAGAGGAGGCCAACTTCTTAGACAGCTAATCTCTGGTTCTCTGGTGAGCATAACCCAAGACAGTTCTTGACCCCTCCTTGCAAATCTTTTCTACTCACCATATCCACCCCTAGAAGCACAAGCAGCGGCACAGTGGTGACCCCAGCCTGGACCCACTCGGCTAGGGAGACAGAGCCATTGCCATCGTAGTCAATCTCTTTCATCATCTCCTGAAGAATCTGAATGGAAACCAGGAGAAGCCTTTTGTTGAGGGGCCCCCAGACACCTCTCTACTGTCTCTTAGGACACCCAGCACCGTCATTCTGGCAGAGGGAACTAGGTGCCCATCAGAGATGGGATGAGGCAGATGTAAGACCATGGGGAAGAGAGTGTAACAAGAAAAGGAACAAACTACCTTACCGGTTGCAGCTCAGACACATCCCAGTCTAGATATTCAGCCACGCGAATCATCTGAAGGATGATTTTTTCTACTTCCTGGAGCAAAGAGGGTAAAAGCCAGAGCTAGCAACTTCCTATCACCACTACTCAAATCTCTAGAAATCGGTGGCTCCTGGATTCCACTTCCAAATTCACCTCTTGTTCTCTGACAAGTAAATAATAAATATTCGAATGCTTCACATCTCTAGTCTTTTTAGAGTTCAAGCTCTTGGGAACTACTTTCATATTTAGCCCTAGCAGACTAAGAATCTAGACACCTCTTTCTTTGTCTCCTCTTTGTTGTTGTTACTGGGGAGAGGGTAGTGTTGGAGATGAATCTAAGGTCGTGTGTATGCTAAGCGATCACGCACTGTGCCACTGAGCTACACCCTCAACCTTTTCTCTGCTTCTGGAGACCCTGGGGAAGTCCAGGTGTAAGAGGCAGATGGACAGATCCCCTTACCCAGCACATGGGTCCCACAACTCACCGAGCTGTCCAGGATCCCGTTTCTGTCCCTGTCGTACAGCTTGAAGGTGACTGTGAAGTTTTGGAGGAACCCAGTCAATTTATGAGAGAGAGCTAAAGAATTCCTTCCAAGGCCAGGCACGGAAGGGCCTGTAATCCCAGCACTTGGAAGGTACAAGCAGGCAGCTCTCCAGTGAGTTCCAGGCCAGCCTGGGATACATAGTGAGACCCTGTCTCCAAAAAACCAAAAAACACAACAGAAACCAAACTAAGACAAAAGCCCCTGAGTATTCAGAAAACAGGAGAAATAAAGAGATATGGAAGGAGCTCGAAGTTAAGAATAGGACAGAGGGGCTGGAGACATGGCACTGGCTGCTCTTCCAGAGGTCCTGAGTTCAATTCCCGGCAACCACATGGTGGCTCACAACCATCTGTAATGAGGTCTGGTGCCCTCTTCTGGCATGCAGGCATACGTGCAGGCAGAACACTGTATACATAATAAATAAATATTAAAAAAAAAAAAAAAGAATAGGACTGATAGCTGGGCAATGGTGGTGCATGCCTTTAATTCCAGCAATCGGGAGGCAGAGGCAGGTGGATCTCTGTGAGTTTGAGGCCAGCCTGGTCTACAGAGTTCCAGGACAGCCAGGACTGTTAAACAGAGAAACCTTGTCTCGAAAAAACAAAACAAAACAAACAAACAAAGAATAAGACTGATAGAACAGATGAGCAGAAGGGCAGCTGGACAGCTGGAGGCCCAGGTTGTAACCTGCCATTCCAGGATTCAGGAGGCTGAGGCAGGAAGGTAGAGAGTTTGAGACCAGGATGGCTTACACATTGTGAGATCCTGTCACATACAAATAAAACAAAAAGGGAGGAAAATGCAATGCATGCCAGCCTTGGTAAACAGAATAGAGATGGCACACACTTCTATGCACCATGAACATCCGAGGCCACCTACATGGGGATGTAAGAGGCAGGAACTGGAGTGACCGGGAGGGGTGGAATGGGGTGGTAAGCATGTGCAGGCAGTCCAGGAGAACAGAGGAAACAGGCCTGTTCCCTGGTGCACCCTTGTTGGCCTTTAGAAACCCCAAAGGAATGAGGAAAGGGGGTCTGGGGAATACTTCCCTTCTCCCTCCACCCTCACTCTTTTTCCCTGCTCAGAATGGCAAACTCACATTCTAGCTTGTCTTCTGGCCGGCCACCCTCCAGGAGGGAGAAGTAGCAGGAGACATCACTGAGACAGACCATACTGGCTACAAAACAAAAACATGGCAGATCCAAGGTCAGGGCCCCCTCTGCACTGGGTCTTTTCCCTGTGCTTATCTCAGGGCTCCCCTTTATCTTCCTTTTCACTAGCTCCTAGCTCTTGCTCTCTCGACCTGCCCACAGTGAGTGACGGCTTCAACTCCCATCCCCAAATTCAAACTGCTTTAACCTTTCTTTCCATGGGCCCTGCTTTAACCTTTCTTTCCATGGGCCCAGCCCAGCCCTGTCTGCGCCATCATACCGTTAGTCTCCGTCGCCTCCGAGCATTGATCACTACTACTAGTGTGAAATGACCAAAACAGAGACCAGCAGAGGTGATAGGGAATTTCATCCACTTCCAGATAGATCTTCAGGAACTGCTCAAATCCCACGTATCCAATGGCCTGTGGTAAGAGTGAGCATTACCCTGGGGCGTCTGCAGGATAGAGAAACTGAGGGCTAAGGAATGGGGCGTCTTGGAGGCAGACATCAAACACAGTGCTGAGAGGCACTGGGAACAAATACGGTTCCTTGGGCCACCTCCTGAGTTACTAGGATCTCTGGTCTTGTTCTAAAGCAATGGCAGCAGTAACCAACCAACAAGGGGGCATTTAGAGGTGGGAAAGAATCCCGGAAGTTGGGGATCTCAGCGGAGACACAAAAACAAAGATGAGAAGCAGTCGAGGAGAGGGTGCCCCACGTCACTCACATCTCCTCGGCGATATCTGCTCATCTCCCCGTCCTCGAAGAGCTTCAGAACATCGCTGACCTTTTTGGTGGAGTCTGGGCGAGAAGAGAGTAAGACAGGAATAAGAGCATAGCTTGGTTCTCCTGGCCTTCCACCACAGCCCACTTGGACATCGACAGGGGGAAGAAAGGTTTGAAAGAGAGAAGAAATTGCAAGAAGGGAAGACCATTTCAGCTCCTCCGCAGGAATGCCCTTGCTTTCTCCTTTGAGTCAGGTAGAGGGTATGTGGGTGGAGAGCTGAAGCATCAGGCATGGGCTGTGTGAGATGGGGGATCAGCTCCAGGTGGCTGGACAGCGGGGTGGAGTCTGCTGAGAAGGAAGCCTCCAGAACTGAAGGGCCAGGACAGAGACTCACATTCCATGTATTTTTGCAGCTGGGCAAAGTCTTCTGGGCTGATGAGGCCCTTCTCTTTGGCCATCCTCTTTTTCTTCTCAAGGAGCAGCACGAAGAGAGCCCGGTAATACAGCTTCTGGGGTTTCTTTTTCAGAGGGTAAGCCTGGGGGAAAGAACAAAGTTCTCATGGAGACCACCGGCTAGTTGTCTGCATAGAGTGCTTCCTTTCCCTGTGCCCGTCTCTAGCTCTCCCTGACAAGGCCTGTTCTCTGTCTTCCTTTCTCTGACTCATCCCTGACATTTTCTTTCATTTCTGTCTTGATTAATCTGGCCACTATCAACACACACACACACACACACACACTCCCACACCCAATGCGCCTGGCCTTTTTCAGTCCACACCCCCACCCACTTCTGGCTCAGTGTCCTCTGCCCATCTCCTCCCACCCTTCCAAGGTTCTCACCTCAGCAAGCCTCATGTTGCAGCACCCCATCTGGCTCTCTCTCCCTCCAGCCACACACCCGGCGCCCCCCCACCGCAACGACCTCTAGCGCTTCTGACACGAGACTCAGAACTAGCAGAACTAGCGGTGGCTGGGATCCTACCTAGCCCTGTTCAGGTCCCATGGGGCTCTACTAGGGACTGGCGGGAACCTGGCTCGTGGGACTGGAGGAGGTTGGAGAGGAAGGCTCCAGTTTCCTGGGTGCCCGACGACGGTGGAGCTGCAGGCTCGGCTATGACGCCAGATCTTCCACCCCGCTGGGTTACCAGCGTTTACAGGACCCCACCTTTTGGTACAGGACCCAGGATACAAGCAGCGATGATCACGTGGTCCACCCCGCTGGGTTACCAGCGTTTTTACAGGACCCCACCTTTTGGTACCGGACCCAGAATACGAGCAGGTATGATCACGTGGTCCTGCCTAATTCCCGCTTAAGGAACTGAGTAGGAGAGGGTGACTTTTCTTGACGATTTTATTGTGTTCGTGTGCTAGGGTCTCGCTGCTAGGTGCCCTGGCTGAACTAGAACTGGTTGTGTGGCCTAGGCTGCATCAAACTGGTTCCGCAATGGGCCTGCCCGAGCCACTGGCCCTGATAAACTACTGTCTCCAGGGCCCTGGGTCTCCGAGGCAAATGTTCCACAGCTGAGCTACACCCGCCTCAAATGTTCAACAACAGCAACAACAGTAATGATATATTTTACAGAAGTAAACAGTACAGGGACATTGAGGGGTCAGAGCTACTCAAATCTAACTGGGTTCCACTCTTAGCTGTGATGGGCCTGTGGCTTGGAGTCATTACACTTGTGAAACAGAGAGAATGGTACCCGTGGTTCACAGTTAAATAAAATGATAGGTTAAAAATAGCTCGAATAATGGCTGGCATAAAGGAAGCCTACACGAAGTGTCAACTACTACTGTATTAACACAGCTAAAATTTCAAATGAAAATTTTTTTAAAGAAATAAGAACACAAAAAGAATTAAAAGTTAAAAAAACAAAACAAAACAACCCGTGTGGTGTCTTACCACCTGTAATCCAAGAACTCAGGAAGATGAGGCAGGATCATCACGAGTTCAAGGTAAGACTGGGCTACATGGTGAGAAACCTCTCACCCTTCCTTCTCTTTGGGGGGAAAAAAAGTTTTGGTGGCCCACAACCGTAACCCCAGCATTGAAAAGGTGCAGCAGGCAGAAAGATAAGGATTTCAAGGCCATTTCATGGTTGCTTAACACGTTCAAGATCAGTGTAGGGTACATTAAGATCCCGTCTCAAACAAAACAACAGACTATAAAGAACAACACAAAATTTTAAAAACCCAGTGTCAGACAGGTGTAGTGGAGGATGCTTGTAATCCCCGAAGCACCCGGGAGGTAGAAGTAGGAGGATGGTGAGTTTGAAGACAGCTTGGGCTATGTAGTGAGACCTTATGTCAAAAATTACAACTGAGCTTCGAATGGTGGCTTATACCTTTAATTGACGCACTCTGGAAGCAGAGGCAGGAGGATCTCTGTAAGTTCAAGGCCAGCCTGGTCTATAGTGAATTCCTGGACCGCCAGAGCTTTTTGAGACCGTCTCAAAACAAACAAACAAAAAAACGACAATAACAAAAACCTACTTGCTGCACTTTGGGAGAATCTGATTTGATTCCCAGTACACACACAACCGTTGGCTTACAATAGCCTATTAATTCCACCTTTAAGGAACTTGATGCCCCTTTTCTGGCCTCTGGAGGCACTGCACACACATCAAATATATACACATAAACTTAAAAAAATATATATCCATCAATCTTGGTGACCTATGCCTTTAATCCTAGCAGGAGCAGGGGCAGGTGGATCTCTGAATATGAGAACAAACTGCTCTAGTATTGAGTTCCAGGATACATACCTTTAGCCAGAGGTACATAGTGAGTCACATGGCAGCATGTAAATTAATAGAAATGGGTTTATTTAAGTTATAAGAGCTAGTTAGAGCCAGATGGTGGTGGCACACACCTTTAATCCCAGCACTTGAGAGGCAGAGGCAGGAGGATCTCTGTGAGTTTGAGGCCAGCCTGATCTACAGAGTGAGTTCTAGGACAGCCAGGACTACACAGAGAAACTCTGTCTCGAAAAATTAAAAAAAAAAAAAAAAAAGAACTAGTTAGAAACTTGCCTAAGCTATTGGCTGAGCTTTCATAATTAATAAGTCTCTGTGTCATTATTGGGGAGTCAACAGTCCTGACGAAAAAGTCCGATTACAAATGGTGCCCAACGTGGGGCACATATTTCCATATAAGACCCGAGAAAGCTAAAAAAAATGATTTTAAACACACAAAAATGGAGCCAAACATGGCTTCCTAGTCCTGCGGTCTCTCATGCGGCCGAAGCAGAGATGCGTCTCTTGGCTACTGCCTGTGGGCTTTAGCTGCCAGTGCCATGAACTAAGCTGCACAGCTGTTTAAGATTTTTGCTCAACTTGTTCAACCACTGTGCAAATCAGTATGGTGGTATCTCAGAAAATTGGGAATGGATCTACCTCAAGACCCAGCCATACCACTCTTGGGTATATACCCAAGGAATGCCCAATCATACCACAAGGACACATGCTCAACTATGTTCATAGCAGCACTATTCGTAATAGCCAGAACCTGGAAACGACCTAGATGCCCGTCAACCAAAGAATGAATTAAGAAAATGTGGTATATATACACAATGGAGTACTACTCAGCAGAGAAAAACAATGACATCATGAAATTTGCAGGGAAATGGATGGAACTAGAAAATATCATCCTGAGTGAGGTAACCCAGACTCAGAAAGACAAACATGGTATGTACTCACTCATAAGTGGATTCTAGATATAAAGCAAAGAACAATCAGACTGCAACCCACAGATCCAGGGAGGCTATCTAGCAGGGGGGACCCCAGGATGACTGTGGCTTATAATAAGTTTTGGTTTTGCCCAATCACTGGGCAAGCTTTAGTGAAACATTTCACTACTAGGATAAGAATTTTTACTGTATCAAGCTGATGAAAGAAAATGCTGGCTGTACTTTTAGGAGGGAGGCTAAAATCTTTTTAGATTATGGATTAGCCTATAGAAAAATGTCTGCCATGAATCAAATAGTGAAGGGGAAGATGAATAGGAATCTCACTTACACAACTTGAGTAAAACATAGCTCTCTGAACAGATGAAGATAGATTTCTTCTGTATATCAGAATCTAATCAACATTTATATGTATAATTCAACTATCAATCATTTGGCTTAAAAGGGCTTATTGGGAAATTGCTGTGGGATGTTCTGTATGGCAAATGTGTTTCTAATTAGTCAATAAATAAAATACTGATTGGCCATTGGGTAGGCAGGAAGAGTAGGCGGGACAAGGAGGAGAATAAAGCTGGGAAGTGGAAGGCTGAGTCAGAGAGACACTGCCAGCAGCCACGATGAGAAACAGCATGTGAAGATGCCAGTAAGCCAGGAGCCATGTGGCAAGGTATAGATTAATGGAAATGGATTAATTTAAGCTGTAAGAACAGTTAGCAAGAAGCCTGCCACGGCCATACAGTTTGTAAGCAATATAAGTCTCTGTGTTTGCTTGGTTGGGTCTGAGTGGCTGTGGGACTGGCAGGTGAGAGAGATTTGTCCTGACTGTGGGCCAGGCAGGAAATCTCCAGTTACAAATGGCGTCCAACGTGGTGGCAAGAGTTTCCACCTAAAAACTGAGAAAAAAGATTCTAAAACGGAGCTAAAAACAGCTTCCTAATTGTCTCTCTCAAATGAGCGGCAGCTGCCGGTTTGAGCTACTGGCAGGTTCCTATCGTGCGTGCTCGACCTGCCTATGGCGGGAATGAGGCCTTTGCAAGTGGCACTTTGAGCTGCATGGTGGATTTAGCCTTTGCTGGTGCAGAGCAAAAGGGGAGGTTTCTGGGCTACACACTGCTTGGATAAAAGCATAGACCCACGATAGCTCCCAGAGCTGGTGGAAAAGGAACCACCACCATGTTGGGAAACTGAGATAGGTGGAGCCAGCAGCCACAGCTGCTGCAGTTTAAGGCAATAGATTCACAATAAGACAGATTCAGATGTAATAGTTTACAATGTGTGTAAAAGATACGTAGGCTTGAAAGAGACAAAAAAGATGATATATAGAGTTATAGAAACAAATACAGTTTTAAAAAATAAAGTCTTTAAAGAGACAGTAAAGGTAGTATAAAAATTAAGCCACGTAAAAATGGATATTACACAGAGAATCTGCATTGTGTTGTCTTTGGGACTTTTAACTGCAGAAAAACATTTGATTGTAAAAGCTGTTGAGCTATGCCAAAATGTATATTTTAAAGGTAACTTGACTTCAAAATTTGAATATAAGGATATGTTGCTTTGGAAAGGAGTCTCTGCTTTTGTTCCCACAGAAAGCCAAAGGCTATGGATTTTTTCCAGATTAAGATACATCAGGTTTGACCAGCCAAGACCCCCTGAAAGGTCTCCGATGACACCATGGCCCAGATGATCCAACATCCAGAACGATTTGAAGGCAACTGGCTCAGACAACACACCCTCATGGACTATTCCATAATCCTAAAATTTTCTTTGTATCCCCATAAGATACAGCGCCCCCCTCCAGCAGGAAGTAGTAAGAGAAGCTACGCCCAAATTCCCAAATTATATGTAATTTTACTT